CTTGGCCCATTTATTGATTGGGCTATTTGATTTTTTGGTATTTAGCTTTTTGAGTTCTTTATATATTCTAAAGATTAGTGCTCTATCTGATGTGCGTGTGGTAAAAATTTCCTCCCATTTTATAGGTTCTCTATTCACTTCACTAATNCATCTTCTGAGAAGTGTCTGTTCAGGTCCTTGGCCCATTTATTGATTGGGCTATTTGATTTTTTGGTATTTAGCTTTTTGAGTTCTTTATATACCCTAGATATTAGTGCTCTGATGTGTGAGGGGTAAAAATTTGCTCCAAAGCTGTAGGCTCTCTATTCACCTCACAGATTGTTTATTTTGCTGAGAAGAAACTTTTTAGTTTTGAGTCCATCCCATTTTTTGATTCTTGATTTTAATTCTTGTGTTATAGGAGTCTTATTAGAGAAGTAGAGGCCTAATCTGACATGATAGAGATTAGGGCCTACTTTTTCTTCTATTAGACACAGAATCTCTGGTTTAATTCCGAGGTCCTTGATCCACTTTAAGTTGAGTTTTGTGCATGGTGAGAGACAGGGGTTTAATTTCATTCTGTTGCATATGGATTTCTAGATTTCCCAGCACCATTTGTTAAAGAGGCTATCTTTTCTCCAATGTATGTTTTTGTGCCTTTAATTAATACAAGATAATTATAATTTTGAGGGTTAGTCTCTGTGTTCTCTATTCTGTACCATTGCTCTACTAGTCTGTTTTGGTGCCAATACCATGCTGTTTTTGTTACTATTGCTCTGTAATATAGTTTAAGATGTGGTATAGTGATGCCACCTGCTGTACTCTTCCTGCTAAGTATTGCTTTAGCTATTCTAGGTCTCTTATTTTTCCAGATGAATTTCATGACTGCTTTTTCTATTTCTCTGAGGAATTCCATTGGGGTTTTGATTGGAATTGCATTAAATCTGTATAGTGCTTTTGGTAGTAGTAGATGAATGGATTAAAAAATTGGCATATATACACAATAGAATATTACTCAGCAATAAAAGAAAATAAAATCATGGTATTTGCAGGTATATACATGGAGTTAGAGAAGATAATGGTAAGTGAAGTTAGCTAATCCCAAAGAAACAAATGTCGAATGTTTTCTCTGATATAAAGAGGCTGGTTCACAGTGGGGGCAGAGGGAGGAGCATGGGAGGAATAGATGAACTCTAGATAGGGCAGAGGAATGGGAGGGGATGGGAGGGGACATGGGGTTATGATAGTGGAATGTTATGGACATTATTATCCAAAGTACATGTATGAAGACATGAACTGGTGTGAATACACTTTGTATACAACCAGAGATATGAAAAATTGTGCTCTATATATGTAATATGAATTGTAATGCATTCCAGTGTCATATATAGCAAATTAGAATAAAAAATTTAAAAAATGAAAAGTTGTTTTAGTTCAATGATATGGCTTTATGATTATGAAATACTAGGTCAAAGAGACTTTGGAATGCACTCAGAAAAATCTCATTGATTCCATCATCACTAAAAGTTCCTCATTTATGTATGACCTCTTTCAGAATGACTATTAGCCGGACTTATGAAGAAGCATAAGACCATGAGTTTCATTCTCCTGATTAGTCATGTCTAAAATACATACTGTATAGCTATAAAGATGCCAATATATGTGTTATATGATAAAGATTTTCTACTATGTATGCTTAGGAATGATAAATGATACTACTCTTAAGAAGACTCTTACAAAAAAAAGTGCAGGTTTTCATTTCTACAAGAAATGCTACATCAGATAAATTAAAATGAGCATAACATAATATGTAAGATGGTAGAAATAATAAAATTTAGGTTTAGAAGTAATTTAAAGGTAATTTTGTCCAATCTCTTCCCTTTAAGGCTGGGTATCTGAAGCCCAGGAAGATGAAATGGCAACTAAAAGGTACAAACTGGTTAGGACATAAGCCTCTTGGCTCTGAATCCCAGGTGCTTTCCACAATGCCACAATGACAAATTTCTACCAGGCTCCTGGGAAATTATTCCCAGGGCCAAAATAGTGAATAGACACACATACCAGGCATTCAGTGAGTGTTTTCTTAATGGGACAACTGCATCTCTGTTCTAATCACTGACATCCCAGGAGTTAGATAACCACCCTCAAGATGCCACTTTCCCACTACCTAATAAGGCAATATAAAGCGCGATTACTTTAGAATAATAAAATTTAGAACTTACCATCTAGACTCTCTCCTGTTAATTAATTCATAAGATCTTCTCAATAATAAGTTAGAGGGCATTAATCCCTTACTGTAGATAATAAAAAATAAGGCTCAGAAAATTTACATAATTTGTTCTAGGTCAAGCAGTCAAAAAAATTGTGACACTAAGGCCCTACCTTAGTTCTCTAACTCCAAATGTCATACTTTCTCTGCCATACCTATGGTATCTCCAGGATATTTATAACCTCTAGAAAAAGAAAAACCAAACTTATGAGGGAAGAGGTTATGAGGAAGAACAGAAGATATTAGAGCTGGTGTGAGATTATTATATAGAAAGTTGTTGTCATAAAGAGATAAAAGCCCTGATAATAGACAGATGGTTTATGTTTCTCTTTAGATTCTCATGGTCTGGTTGTAATCTGCAGGTTACAAAGACCCCGTATGTCCAAAGAGGAGAGAACAATGTTGTATAATTTGGAAGGAGATTCTGACTCCTCAGGGTGATTGAAAAGCAATGGGGTAGGGAAAGCACAGGTACAGGAGTTAAGGCTACCAGAATTTTGGTTCAATTTTGCAATACCTTCTTGTGTCCTTGGTTAAAGCCCTTTCCTGCTTTTGGTTCAGTTTTCCCAGTTTTAAAAGGAGGTCTGTTCAACTTCATGATTCTTTAATATTTTCTTCCTAATGGCAAAGATTCCAATAATTTGGAAAAATGCCTGAAGTGAAGTTTTGTGAACTGAGAATTTGACTGCCATTCTTGCAAAACATATAGTTGTCCTTTTTCTCCCCAACAAAACAACTTTTTATACATTCTTGGTGAATCAGTATGCTTATGTGTATAGTGGCTGATATATTTAAGTTGGGTCACAGAATTATTTTCCCAAATGCATATTTAAGTTGGATAGATAACAAAGATATATTGCAACTGATTTTCAGTGATGAACCATCAAAACACTTATCTTGGATTAGTAAATTTTTTTCTTTATCCATTATCAGTAGACTGAAAGAAACTATTTTTTTCTTTAGCCATTATCAATAGACTCAAACAAACTATTGCTTATTTCATTACTTTTCCAAGAAACAGAGATTTTTTTTCTTTAACTGGAGTTGAAAGCTTTGGAGCACCAAAAGAATAGAAAATTTCAAAATATAATTTTGCCAAAAAAGTGGATGTCATTTTACTGTGTAAATTAAAATCAAAGTTATCAGCAAATAATTAACCAATATGTTAAGATTAAATTTTTTTAAGTCAGAGATGAACACAATACCTTTGTTTTATTTATTTTTATGTGGTACTGAGGATGGAACCCAGTGCCTCACATATGCTAGGAAAGTATTCTACCATGAGCCACAATCCTAGCCCGAGATGATGATTTTACTTTTATCTCAGATATGGTTTTTCAGGTGTATATTATTTGGGAGTATCAGTGAGCTTATAGAATAAATTGTAACTAATTGACACCAGAGTTTTAGTTTTTTTCTTATATATAGAAGATTTTAGGGAGCTTATAAACAATCTGAAATGGCAAGAAAATTGGGTGCATATAAGAGTTTGTGGATACACTGTATATCATTTATCTGCTTCTCAAAGTGATAACAAAGGTGACACCAAATGTTATAGAACCACCACTCTTCATATCTTATAACAACATAGTTTAGACATGAATTAGATATAGATTAGATATTTCTTTGTTAAAACAGGAAGCTTATTTTTAAACACAGCTCAACGTTTTTAGTATGCATTTAGCTACATGAAGACTAATAATAGACCTCCATTAAGTGTATGATACTCCTTTCTATCTTATTCTGAAACAGAACAAAACAAAAATACAAAATACAAAAATACAAAACATTAGTAATATCAATTAAAGATAACCTAAATAAATGAAGATATATCATGTTCATGGATTAGAAGACTTAACAATTTTAAGGTGTCAGTTCTTCGCAAACTTACTATATATTCACTATACCTCAATTATACCCCAGTATGCTATTATTTCCTTGTAAAAGTTGAGAAGTTGATTCTAAAAGTTATAGGGAGATGCAAAGGACCTAGAATATCTAACAGAGTTGTGAAAAATAAATATAAAGTTTGAGGACTTAACACTTCTTGACTTCATGACTTGCCACAGAGCAGCTATAATTAAAATAGGGTGACACTGCCTGAGGATAAATAAAGAGAACAGAACAGAGCCTAGAAATAGACCTCCACTTATACAGTTAAAGTCACCTACACAATATAATGGAAAATGAAAAATCTTTATAATAACTGAAACCCAAAAATGTAGATAGTCACATGGAAAAAAAATTGAACCTCAACCTCAACCTCACACAAAATTAGTTTAACATAGAACACTGCCTAAATATAAATGTTAACATAAAAATTTAAAGGAATTAAAGCCCTATGTATCATCCTAAATAGACCACAGAATATTTTCTTACCTCTTCACAGTTTCCTAATTTCATTTCTAAATTGCTCTTCCCAACACCTAGAACACATTTCAGTTCAATCTGGGTGGCTCTTAGATAATCAAGCAATTGTCTTAAAAAAAAAACAACAAGCTAGATGTGAAATCTCTGGCAAAGATATATTTTCTGATTACTTTCTTAATTACTTGAGGATCAGAGCAAAATTTCACTGTACTTAATGGACAAAGTTGTCTACATTGAGCTGAAATGTTTCCAGAGATTCTCATCTTTAATGTCAGATTTTAATGGACATGAGTACCTCCTACTTGCATCTTTCCCGTGTTCACTTACAAAGTAGGAAATAAAACCATAGCAACATTAAAACATGCAATATGAATCCATTTACCGGAGTCCATAGAGAACTGTTCCGTCAGGATGCAGTCGGATCATTCGATTTTTCACTGTGACTCCATGCACAAACGACTTCTTGTCATTCAGAAAGTAGGTGTCTGGCACCCAGAGCTGGTCTGCTACCCTGTTGTCTAGGGTGAGGTTTAGAGGGATTCCAGAATAAGAAAGCCGTTTGTCTTTCCAAGACTGTTGGAAATACATGGTGAGGGTATAGTCCTGTGAAATAAAACCAAACACATAATTTTATCATCATCATCATCATCTAAGGCTCTTTGTTAAAAATTTTATAGCATATGGCATTGTGGACATCCAGGACCCACCCTCCTGATATCCCCTGAGAGATACATTTGGATATATTGAAATTTACTCCTTCAAGTGCAAGGCAACTAGTAGGTTAAAAGTACTAGAACAGAACTAAGCACAAGTATTTCCACCAATATAGATCAAATATATGTAATTGAACTTCAAGGTTTGAAGTTAAGGTAATGATACCATCGGAAAGCTGAGAAATTGTATGAGATGCATCATTTCCAAAATTTACACCTAGATATTATTCTTATGGTTTTATTTTGGAGTGGAATGATTGATAATAACTAAACATGAATGCCCTTAAAAGGAAAAGGTATTTTTCAAACTGCAAATTCTTTTCTACTGTTTGACTCATAATGGTTATCAATTGCCATTATCTAGATCTTTCTAGTGAATTGCAACCTATCTGTGGGTCCTGAAAAGTAGTGCTAAAGCACGTGTAGATAAAGATGAGAAAACTGACATCAGAAGTACAAATGATCAACAGTTCCTCTTACATTTATTTATGCTTCATTTAAGGAATTGGTTTGAATTTAGAATTGTTTGCTCTTGAGAGTTCTTTTTTCCTTACCTTCTGCAAAAGGTAGCAAATGAGGACAAGCCCCTGTATTTTTCTTTCTAACCAGGTTTTCCCTGGCAGTGAAATACAGGAAGATTTGGGCTCAATAAATGGATCAAGCAACAGGGGATGGATGGTGATGATTATCTTAGTGCTTTATTTTTTTGTCTGTTTTTAAGGACCTCTATTAATTCAAAGTATAATTGCCCATTAAAAGAAAATCAATTGCCAGCAGTAAAATCATAGTCTTTAAGACATGGATTCCAACATAATAAAAACATAAGGCTCAATTTTTCTTTTAAAGGATACTTGTATGTCCATAGTTACTTTGTGAATGCTTTAGCAACCAGTAACAAAATATTGCATAATTCCTGCACAATATCTGTGTACTAACATTGCAATATAAATCACTAATTGAGAATCAATTTGCCCTACAACTGGGCAAATTATACTCCATCTAGACCCCTGCATAATATTCATTCTGAACAATGAATCTCTGCTTCTGTTCACATTGGGTTCAAAAATATTTTTACTGTTTACTCAGAAACCATCTTGCAGTGATTGAAAGCCATTCTTTCTTATTAAATGACAAAGGTGTTCATTATTTAATATTAATCAAACACTATCTTTTTTAAAATCTAAAACCTTATTCATACATTTATAAAGCCACATGGTTATATGCAATTCTCTTCTCTCAATTTGTACCATACCATTTGCATCTTTTTCAAATCCTTAACTATTTGAGGATTAGAGCAAAACTTTAAGGAGAAAGATGAATTGAATAGATTCTTAGCTCTAGATTTCAAAACACTTTGATTTTAAGTTTTACCACATGTAGATTTGTGTAACTATAGGTGGCAAACATACTCTCCTATACCTCAGATGCTTTGTTTATAAAATGGCATTTTTTTTTTTTTTTTTGCTTATTGTGAGCATCAAGTGAGAAAATTTCAAATCAAGGTACTTTAAAAACCGTAACATGTTCAACAACAAAAACCCCACATTAACTTAAAAACAGTTAATTGCTCTGTACAGATTGGTATCATACTTTCAAACACTGAGTGCTCATAATCAATTATCATAATAGTTGCTATTTTAAATAGTTGTTAATGGAAGAATTAGTAGGCAGATAGATCCTGTTGACCAGGAAAATAAGCAATTTGTGATGATCAATTCCAAGTTTAGAGGTTGGGTTCTTGTTGTAATTCAGCCAGTGTAGAAAAAAAAAATGGTATAACTAGCCAATGTCAAGATATTGTAAACTTTGCCCTAGCGACTAGCACAGTCACCAATGAAATACATGCTTCAGTAATCATAAGAATCCCTGTCAGCATCTAGGTTCCCATAAATACTACAAAGAGTCTCTCCCAATGAGACCTGCTGAAATCCCTACTCCACCCTCCCGCCCATAAGTAAGGTTTTAATGTGCAGAGGGGAAAACATATAATCAGAGAGTATAAAGGAGGATTATTTTGAAAATTGTTAAGAAAGGAGATTGCAAAAGCTCTATCCTTAGACACACAGAGGAGCTTGTGGAGGGGGCAAGGAAGATGGCGGATGCCTCACAGCAGCTCCTCACATCGGCCTTACCGTGGGGATACTACTTCTCAGAGAGGTGAGTAACTAAGGAAACTCAGTGAAACTTCATACTGAAAACTGTTAAAAATTGTTTAGAAAGATGCACAAAGTCAGAAACCTGAAGGTAGGACATAACAAGTTAGAGGAGCGCCAGCTCGGGTGCCAGCGACGGCCAGGGTCAGTGCGCACCAAGGGGTGGCCAGCGGATAAAGAACTTTTTATTTTTAATTGGAAAACTGACTTGGGGAAACCTGTATATTAGAGAGGGAGGCTGATTTTAATGTACACAGAATCGGTAGGGTAGTGGTTTACTATAAGGAAATCCAAAATTAGTGCCCTGAGAATGCTCCAGGTGTGGAAAACGAGCCTGGGCCCAAAGGCAGACACCACAGTTCTCTGGGGCGGGGGGGGGGGGGACGTGGGAGACCACCTGGCAAAAAGCGCCCCACAGTAATATGCTTCACTCACACCCCCCAAGGAAAACATCGCAGCTGGTACTGCCACTGCCGACTGAGAGCACCCTGAAGGGAAAAAAGTCCCTAGTGCGCATGCGCCTAGTGGGAAACGTCTCCCACTCTACAGCTGCCGCTAGGGTCCATGCGAACGCCAGACGGAAAATACTACCTCTGGTGCCACCACCGCACCAGGTGGTACTGCTGGCAGTGACAGGAAGTTGGGAACTTATGAAGGCAACTTAATTGTTTTTTTTTTTTTTTTCCTAGAAGACACCTGAACCAAAGAGATTAAAATGAGCATAACGAAAATTATACATGGACAGTTCAGGTTCTGGATCCCAAGGGAGGAATGCTACTTTCATTGCTGGCACTGTAGCGGACACACAGGCGCGTCTGCACCCCAGGGGCAGATAACTGGTATTTCATATGCATTGCAGTGAATCTGAGACCATGAAGGCTATCTCTACACACCTTAGAAGTGGATTTGCTAAATATTCTGTGGTCTATTTAGGATGATACATAGGGCTTTAATTCCTTTAAATTTTTATGTTATCATTTATATTTAGGCAATGTTCTATGTTAAATTAATTTTGTGTGAGGTTGAGGTTGAGGTTCAATTTTTTTTCCATGTGACTGTCTACATTTTTGTAAAAAATAATTGCCAACCAACATTGCTATACCCAGTAACAGTCTCTTTCATCTTCAATGGGAAACAGAAAATGTCTATGACAAAGATAAACTGAAAGAATACATAGCAGCCAAACCAGCACTACAAAGATTCCTTGAAGATAAATTGCACACAGACAAACCCAAAAACAAAATTCAAAATTCCCAAGTAAATGAAAATCAACAGAAGACTAATCAGCTAAATTAGAATCAAAACAGAACTAAATGTAACAAAACATCAAAATGCCAGTACACTACAAACACATATCCATAATAACACTGAATATAAATGATCTCAACTTCACAATTAAAAGACATAGACTAGCAGAATGGATCAAAAAAGCAAGATTCAACTCTATGATTTTTGCAAGAGACTTATTTCATAAGCAAAGACACTCACAGGCTGAAGATATAAAGATGGAAAAAATATCTCATGCAAATGGAGTTCAAAAACAAGCTGGCATAGCTATTGTCATATTTAACAAATCTGATTTTAAGCAAAAACTATCTTAGAAGAGATAAAGAAGGCCATTACATTCCTGGTAAAGGGAATAGTCCAACAAGAAGATATAAGGATAGTAAATATATATTCCCCAGATATCAATTCACCTAGTTACATTTTAAACAAATACTCCTTGACATTAAATCCCAGACAGATTCCAATACAATAATACTGGATTATTTCAACATACCCTTATAGCCACTAGACAGATCATGAAACCATACAATCAATAAAGATATATCCAACCTAATAATACTATAATTAAAATGGACCTAATAGATGTATACAGAATATTTCACTACAAATTATCTGCATTTACCTTGTTCTCAGAAGCTATGGAAACTTTTCCAAAATAAACCATATAAATACCAAAAGATAGATATAATCCAATTATCCTATCAGAACATAATGGAATGAAACTAGAAATCAACAGCAAAAAAATAATAGAAATCACATAAATCCTTGGAGAGTACTCTTTAATGAAGAAACAAATAGGAAATGAAGAAGAGATCAAGAAATTCTTACAAACAAATTAAAACAAAACTATCACATATCAAACTCTTTGAGACAGCATGAAAACAGTACTGAGGAAAATTCTTTGCATTGATTGCCTACATTTAAAAAAAAAGTTGAGAGATCCCAATAAATAATCTTATGATCTACTTCAAAGCCTTAGACAAAGAAAAAAATAACTCCAAATACAATAGAAGACAAGAAATACTAAGAATCAAAGCCAAAATTAGTCAAATTGAGAATAAAAAAAACAATACACAGATTTTATTCTTTGAAAGTGATAAATAATATTGATAAATCCTTAGCCAAATTAACCAAAAGAAAGAGAAAAAACACAAATCAACAATATTAGAGATTAAAAAGGAAACTACTACAGACACTTCTGAAATCCAGAAGATCATTAGAAACTATTTTATAAACTGCAAAATCTAGACCCATATGACTTGCCCAAACTAAACCAGGAAGTTATAGAAAAAAAATAAACAGACCAATATCAAGTAATGAAAATGAAACTGAAATTAAAGCCTGCCTACAAAGTAAAGTTCAGAAACAGACCTATAAAGAAGACTAACCCCATTCTTTCTCAACTTATTCCATGAAATTGAAAGGTGGGGAAACTCTGCCAAACACATTC